CTGTCATGTGTCCTTGGATTAGCCATCACGGCATCTCTAATTCTGAAGTACACTCTTCTGGGATAATAAACACACTTTAGATTTTACAGAGTGCTATGGTTTAGAAAGGAGTTGTTATAAACATTAGCTCACTTAACTCTAATGACAGGCTTGAGAAAATTGTGGTCTTTTACAGGTAAGACACCTGAAACTCAGAAGAAACAATTTGCCCGTGATTTCAAAGCTAGTTAGTCGTAAAGTTGGCATTTGAATCCATAGCTTGTGATCCCAAAGTCAGAGGTTTTTCCAGTATGCTGGGTCACAAGAATTTCCACCCTAGTCACCAAGGTTAGGAATGATCTTTTAGCCCCCTAAGTGCAAGACATTGCAATTACCACTTTGACAGAATGCTGTGTTCTCTTTGTGCTTGAATGCAATGCTTCCTAAGAAAAGGAATGGTAAGTTTTGCTTAAAAGGCCAAGAGTCACCTAATTGGAATCTGGTGCTACAGACTGGGGTTCTGATTATTGACTGATTATATGGTGCAGTGGTTAAGCACTTGGCTGCCAACTAAAAGGTTGTTGGTTCAAGCCTACCAGATGTTTTGTAGGATAAAGTTGTGGCAACTACTTCTGCAAAGAGTTATAGCCTTGGGTTTGGTTTTGGTTTATATACCCACAGAGGCTGATGAAGTTACTCTGGGATCATATTCTTCCTCACACTTAGATGTAACATGCCATATTGTAGACTGAGCAGTGTGTGGCTATGGACTAATAAGCTAAGTAATATAAGTACCGGAAAATCCTACTGTATGATGTTCTTTTTTGTTTTTTGAACGAAAACAATTATAATTTATTGACTGCCCACTAGGTGCCAGGCAAATTATCTATGAACCTAGATCCGTCTGCTTCCAAACTTTCCTACTTCAGCTCCAGAGCCTTTCTGGGAGTGGTAAGGGGCTCAGGGGTACTGGTTCCATTTAGTCTCATAATCCTGACACACTGTAGATGTAGCCTTTCAGGTCTCTTCAAACAAGATCACAGATACTGGTAGAGTCACAAGATTTTACAAGAATACAAGATGCTTAGTTAAATTTCAGTTAAACTAGAAATACTTTTTTTTTTTTTTTTTAAGTATAAGTATGTCCCAAATATTCAATGTTTGTGGGAATCTGGCTATTGTAACTAAATTCTTTTGCTTTTCCCTTGGAATAAATGCCTCTGTTCTCAGGAACAGCTAGAGATAGTATCATATTCAAAGTAATTGAAGATGACACTATGAAATTTTAGTGTTAAGAAAATCTCTCTTAGTACTGTTTTTATAATAATTATATAACCTTGGATTCTTCTATAGGTGCCAAAGAACGTTCTGAGATCTATGAAGCATTCGAAAACATCTATCCTATCCTAAAGGGTTTTAAAAAAGCCTGAGTAGATCATTCAACATCTCACAGGATACTGATTTGAAATATGTGCTTAAGCCCAGCAAAGAAATTGCTGGATTCTTCTACCTTTGACCATGGATAGTCTATGTGCATTTTGACTTATTAAAGGATGATTCTATGTAAGTAGCCATGCTAAAGAAATGAGAGAGAGAGAGAAAAAAAAAAAAAACATTCAAAATGACTCTGTCATATTATTTTGAAAACTGAACAATTAAACTTGTTTCAGAATTTGAGGAATTTAGGGCCTTGCTAGGTTGATATTGTAGCATCATTAAAATCCACTATTCTATTAAGTATATACTATATGAACATGTGTGCTCGGTAAATATACAGAAATTTCAAGCAACTGGATAAGCTGAATATTATCTGTAATATAATCTAGCAGTGTAGGCATTAGTTTTGTCTTTCTGCCTTGTTGAATACTGAGTATATGATTCTGGCCATTAGGCACTGTGAAGGATCTCATCAGAATACAAATGCAAGTCTAAATCTTAAGAAAACTAAATACCCTTTTCTTTGCAATGATCAGAGGAAATGATTTATCTTACTTTAAAAATCTTTAATTTTAAGTAACCATTTGTTTAGTGTAAGCTTTATTTTGAAAAAATAAATTTTTGTCTACTTTTATAACCTTACGTAGTTGTATTAAAAAACAGACTTGGTAAGACTAAGAATGGAATGTTCAGATTTAAAACTTAGATTGTAGAATTGCCAACATTTGAGGATGGATGAGATGTGGAGGTTAACAGGGAGGGATGAGGCTAACTGACTCATGGTTCCTGGTGACCACTAAGTGATCAGTGATCATGCCCTTCAAGATAAGGAAGTAGGTTTTGGGGGAGGCAGAGTTCAGTTTTAGACATGCCTTAAAAGGTAGGCAGTTATAAACTGTTGGGTCTGAATCTTGAGAGAGAAGTCCCATTTAGAGAATTTAGGGGAGACATTTTATTACACTAATGAAGTCATCCTTGAGAATCACTGGTCTAGATAGTCTGTGGAGTCCTGGAGTGGTGCAAACGGGTAAGTGCTTGGCTGCTAACTAAAACTTTGATGGTTCAAGTCCACCCAGAGCTCCCTCGGAAGAAAGACCTGGCTATCTACTTCTGAAAAACTATTGTTATGTGCCCTCGAGTTGGACCCAACTCATAGCGACTCCTCCCTGGGTTTCCAAGGCAGCATCACTAACGAAGTAGATTGCCCAATCTTCCTTCCGAGGAGTGGCTGGTGAGTTTGAACCGCCAGCCTTCTGGTTAGCAGTCAAAAACTAGCCACTGAAAACCCTATGGCACATAGTTCTACTCTGACATACACTGAATTACTGGAATGAACTCCACAGCAACTGGTTTAGATGATTTGCAAATTTGGTTATGACCTATAAACTTTCTGTAGTTTAGAGGTATAGTCAAAGTCTAATTAATATAACCACTTACCCCCACCCCCACCCCACCACCTCCACAGAAGAAAAACTGGAAGGGAAATCTAACCATTTAAAAACCTAAACCCACTGCCATCAAATGGATTCTGACTCCTAGAGACCCTACAGGACAGGGTAGAACTGCCTCGTAGGATTTCCAAGGTGGTAAATCTTTATGGAGGTAGTCTGCCTTATTTTCCTCCTGCAGAGCTGGTGGGTTAGAAGAGCCAATCTTTTGGTTAGCTGCCTGATGCTTTAATCACTGCATCACCAGAGCACGGTAACTATCTACCTAGTTCAAATTATTGCTCAGAGTTAGGGAGAGGGGTGTTAGCCATTACATGAATTAAAATTCACTTTCCAGAAAGGCTCAACTTTGATTTCCACATTTAGTATGATCCTTTCCATTGTTTAGCCATGATCAATAAGTATCAGTTGCTTACTATTAAACGTGTTTACTTATTAATCATGACAGTAGGTAGGTAATGTAATTATCGCCATTTAATAGAAGAGAAAACGGGCACAGGAGTTAAGGAATTTGCCCCCAGGTCACACAGCTAGTAGGTGGGCAAGCCAAAATCCATCCAGTTTTGTTTGCTGTAGTTTTAGCCAAATTTAAAAGCGTCTACAGCGAATTAAAATTCCTTATTCTGTTCCCATCCGTTTCCCAGAATCCTTAGGACACTGTATCACTATTTGCACAACTTGGAGGCGTTAACTAGTAGCCTTGGAAGAATCCTAGAGATGACATTTTGTATGGCCGACTCGCCCTCTAACATAATATTCTCTGGGGATCAGCTGCCTCTCAGACAGGAAAAGCAATAACGTCCGGGGCCGACGCAGGCGAGTTACAGCCCTTACCGCCGCTGCCGCCAGAACTGTCCGAAGGCTGGGCGAGGGTTGGGGGAAGGAACCCTTGGTCCGCCAGGACCCCCGCCCGTCCTCTCTGCACCTCCCCAGGCCCCTCCTCCTCGCCCAGGATGCACCTGGTTGAAAACAAAATCCCACGTGACTGGCTCTGCTCTCAATCCATCATGGCGTCTCCCAGTGGGAAGGGAGCCCAGGCTCCGGAGGCTCCTGGCTGCGGGTCCCAGCCGCTCTCCCAGGACCTAGTGGACTCCGTGGACGACGCGGAGGGACTGTACGTGGCCGTCGAGCGATGTCCGCTGTGCAACACCACGCGCAGGCGGCTGACCTGCGCCAAGTGTGTCCAGAACGGCGATTTCGTCTACTTTGACGGCCGCGACCGTGAGAGGTACGGCAGCCGTCACGGCCCTATTGTTTCTTCCCGGGTGTGTTCTTTAGCTGGGCGACCAGAAGCTGGAGCTTGAGGCGTCGGTCCGGCCATCGGAGCCCAATGGAGCAAAGGGTGGCTGCTTTGCTCCCGGGGAAGGGGTGGGGGGTGGGGGGGAACAGATGAGAAAGGTTAGGAGTAGTCTGATCCCGTGGTAGTTTTGGATATTCGTGAAAAGGAATAGATGGTGATCCTCTGGAGAAGTCTTCCCTGTTGCTTTCTTAAATTGCATTGCCAGGTCTTTGCTGCACTCTCATTCAAAAGCTTGGTTTAACCTTTGTCTTTGAAAGCACATTCGTAATCATTCTCAGAAGAGAAGTAACTGATTAAGAGGTATTCGGGTCTGGCGGCTTTTGTCACAGGTGGACCTGGTTGTCAGACAAGCTGACTCAAATGTGTGAGTAAACTAGGATTAGTATCTTCCTTTTTCTCCCTCAGCCACCACAGACTGTTTTGATAGGGATTTGGAGTCGTATTTTGACTTTGCTTTAAAATCCAGGCTGGGTGATGCAAGTCATTAGAATTGAATTTGGAAACGTGTTTTGAAACCCAAACAGATAGCTTTAAGCCCCAGGTTAAGAGAATTGAAAAAAAAAAAATGAGTGTGGCTATTTGCAGGGTTTCTCAACTTTTGTTTTGAACAATTTAAATAGAGCCAATGATAGTATGATAGCTAACTTTCATTAACACAAAAGTTCAAAGCACTCTACAGGTATTGATTCATTTACAACGGCCTAATAAGTTATTATTCCCACCTTACTGCTAAGGAAATGGAACAGTTAAGTACCTTGCCCGAGAATACAGTAAGTGTAGATCAAAAATAAAAATCCAGGCCTCCTGGACCTATAGAGCCAAGCATTTTACACTGTACACCCTCTCTATATTTGGAAATATTTTGAATTCTTAGTATTCCTGTGATCCTGGATGGAATTCTTCCTTTCTCTTTTGAGATTTGTCTGATAAAATATTTTTAGTTCATTGCTGTGCCCTCTTGAAGTACTTGATGACTTTAGAACAGAAATGTAACAAGAAATAACTTTAAAAATTGAACAAGTTGTTTTATTGTAAGACTGCAAGATATCAGTTGGAAATACCTACCTGATAGAATTTAACAAGGGTTCAGTTCTGGATCCTTTTCTCTATCTATACTTTTTCTTAGATTCATTCTTAATATTTAAATACCATCTCTATGCTGAGGTGCCAGACTTAGATCTCCAACCCAGATCTATTTTGAAAAATAGATATCTCCAACTTAATATGGCAAACTGAATTTCTGCTTTTTCCATAAATCTCTTCTTCCATGTTAATCCTCCCCTAGTAAGTGGCTCAGGCTGAAAAAACCTGTCAGTTACCCTTGAATCTTCTTTTTCTTAACACCACTATATATAATTCATCAACAAATCCTATCTGCTTCCAAACCTATCCCAAATCTGACTCTTCATCACCGCTTGATCCACTGGAGGTTTAGTGTCTCTTATCTCTCTGCTTACACTGGTAGCCTTATGGTGTAGTTACCATATTATAGGCAGAGTGTGCCACTCTTACATTCCTCTATGCTAAATCCTTTAGTGGTTTCCCTTTTTATGCAAAGTAAAATCCAGAATCCTTAACCAAAAGCTCTGTATTACTTTCTTCCCACTGACTAATCTACTACTGTTTGGCCTCCTTACTCTTCTTACCCACTCTGCTATATAACTGTGGCCTCTTTGCCATTCTTTAAATACACCAAGAATACTCCTGACACAGGGCCTTTGCAGTTTACTGAAACTTCCAGGAACTCTCTTTCTCTCTAAAATTCTAGGGGATGCCTTCTTTGTTTCCTTTAGACTCTTTCTGACCGTTCAGTTACAGTAATAACCTCCTTTCCTAGTTATTATTCCTGCTTTATTGTCCTCCATAGCACTTATCGGGTGCTCTGGTAGCATAGTGCCTAAGGCACTTAACTGGTAACCAGTGGCGGTTCAAACCCACCAGCCACTCCTGGGAAGGAAGATTGGGTAATCTACTTCTGTAGTGATACTGCCTCGGAAACCCAACGAGGGGTCACTGTGAGTTGAGTCCAACTTGAGGGCACATAACAACAGCATAGCACTTATTACCATCTAATGGTTTACATATTAATTTGTTGTAACTTCCACCTCTCCCCTAAGATGTAAGCTTTATGAGAGCAAGACTTTATCTGACTGCTATAGCCTTACTTAATAGAAGCTCAATAAAAATTTGTTGAATGATTAAATGAGTCTACCCACCCTTCCTCAAGTTAGCATTTTTCTGGACTATTTCAATATTCTCTGTCATGACCGACTTACTACTAAAGCCAAAGACCTGGGAGTTACCCTTTTTTTCTGTTCCCCACATCTCAATCATTGGCAAGTCTTATTTGATCTAACCCCAAAATATATCTGGAATCTGTCCAGTTCTAGTCCAAATCACCATCATCTCTTTCCTAGACTTCTTAACTGGTATTCTTTCTTTTACTCAAGGAGCTCTGGTGGCATAGTGCCTGAGGCATTTATTTGACTGCTAACCAGAAGGTTGGCTGTTCAAACCCACCAGCCACTCCATGGAAGAAAGACTGGGCAATCTGCTTCCGTAAAGATTTACCGCCTTGGAAACCCAAAGGAGGTCACTATGAGTCAGAATCCACTTGATGGCACTGAGTTTGGTTTGGTGTTTGGTTTTCTTTTACTCATGGGTGGTGCAAAGAGTTGACAAAATTAGCTGCTAACTGGAAAGTTGGGGGTTGGAGCATTCAGATCTGCATTGAATTGAATCCGAACTCTACCACTTGCTGTGTGACTTTGAACAGGTTTTAAATCTTTTTCATTTTTAAAATGGTGGTTTCTGATAGTGATTACGTAAGAGCATGCATTGAAAGTTCCTACCATGGTGTCTAGCATTTATTAACCACTCAAAAAATAAACTCATGTTCCCTCTTATTCATTGCTTCATAGTCAGTGGCCTTCTTTCAAATCCTCAAGAACAAAACTTTCCACCTCTGGGCCTTTTCCTTTAGTGATCCTTTTGTTAAGAACCTTTTCCTTCTGACTGGCACCTTGTCTTTCAAGTCTCAAATGTTACCTTCTCAGTGAGGCCTACCCTAATTTTCATTGCTAAGCTAAGTTCCCTCTTCTGCCTCCTTCCCCATTATTTTCTGTTGCAACACTATTTCTTTCATGGCACTGAGTATAGGTGCAAAAAGGAAAAGGAGGCCACATATTCTGACCTCCTAGAACCCCACAAGAGGAAGGCAGAATCACCATCAATAGCCCAAGGCCTATTACTGCAAGGCCAGACATGCTGCCTCCCTCCAGCTGTTTCACCAACTGTTCCTCCCAAAGCACCCACCACCTCTCTCCTGGGTTCGATA